AATGTTAATGAAGATCCTGGATATGAGTTTGAGATAACTTGGTAAAATGCTGTCAGTGAGGCAGACTGTGGCACAGAGGGTTAAGCCTCAACTCTGGCTTTTCAAATGTTGTTGGAGTACCAGTTTGACACCTAGCTCCTTTGTTTCCTATATAGCTTCCTGCTGACACACTCGGGGGGTGGGCCAGGGGAGGGGAACAGGCAACAGATGATGGCTCAAGAAGTCGGGTCACTGTCACCCATGCGATTAACCCACATGGAGATCTTGGTACCTGACTTGAACCTGGCCCAGCCCAAGCTTTTATAGGCATTTGGGGAGTGAGCCAGTAGATGGAAAACTTTTGTGTTTCTAACTCTTCCCCTTTCTCTGTCCCTCTTCTGCTTTTCAAGTATTAAACTAAATCTCTTTTAAAAAACTAAAGAATATTTTGTGGAGAGTCATTCATTTGAAATTTATTGCTTTTCATCATTAAATATTACACGTGCTTTTATGAGGTAGTTCCCTATGATGGATGATTTCCAGCTGAAGAGGGAAAATTGAAGTTTTTCACAGAGGGACCTTGGAGATGAATCTGTCTGATCATTGATCATTTCTCCTCCATCAACCGTTCAGGCCTCTGAATAATCACTAGGTCTGCCAAGCCCCCCAGTGTTCTCCCTGCTGCCAGAGAACCTGAGTGGTCCCGCTGTGCTGCACAGGACTCAGTGGACACCTGAACCCTTCCAGAAGGAGTTGCCTTCCTTGATAGCACTTCACAGTTGACCTGGAAATTTCCTGTAGTTCCATTTTCTTTTTTATTTTTTATGATACAGCTCTAGAGGCTCAATGATTTCCCTTTTCACCCTCCGCATTCTTCCCTTTTCTTGTTCTTAAATGCTCTTTAAATTGTTTCAATCCTTGTGTACAAATCATTCAATCAAACATGACTGATAAAATTTTACTTACCTCCATGCTTCTAGGCTCAAGCAGTTTCACAGGACATGGTGTTAGAAATTCTGTAAAATTACAATCAGGCTGTCTGGGACTTTAGGTTACTTGAAGATCCAATTAATTTCTGATCGTTGCTGTTTTTTCAGCTATCCATACTACCTATGTAGTCAAAGAATAACAGATATATACATTTATATCAATATGTAAACTGTTATAACCACAAAAGAAAAAAATCGGTTGCTTTCCTTTTATCTGCTTCTTTTTAAATTTCAAACACTACAAAATAGGTTTAAAGTGGTAGCAAACACACTGTACCAATGGCTCTACCCACTGAAAAATGAGTAACCTGGTTCTGATGCATAGCCTTTTTTTAAAAAAAAGAACTTGATTAATATATAATACAAGTACCATATGACCTTTAGCCATTTAAAGTGTACTATTTAAGGAGTTTTAAAAAGCAGTCCAGGATGGCCCAATGCCTTGGGACCCTGTACCTGTGTAGGAGACCCGGAGGAAGCTAGCTCCTGGCTCCTGACTTCAGATTGGCTCAGCTCCTTCTGTTCACTTCTGTTGGGAAGGGAATCAATAGATGGAAGATTTTCCTCTCTGCCTTTCCTCCTCTATGCATATCTGACTTTCCAATAAAAAAAAAGTATGTGCTTATGTTTAGATTTGTTCCAGAGTGAACATATCTGTTTCTATACATGAACTCCTTCCCCCTACTCATTTCCCCCATATTACTTCACTAGTATAGTCCTTCATAAACAGTCATGTGTCCATTATTCTGCTATTTAAGTGTATCCTTGTAGGTATGGACAATGACGGAGAGTCCAGCACCCTACTGTCAAGACATATTTAACAGTTTTTTAGAGAGTTCATCTTTGCTTTGAAAGTAGAGATGCATACTGCATTGCATCTTCACAACTGGTTATGATAATTCCTATTACACAATTACTACACACCCCTTTATGAAAAGCCATAAGCCAAAATCAACAATAGGAAGAGTAACAGAAAATTCAGGAACACATAGGCCATGCAGTAGCATCACTTTCTTCAAGGTTTTCAATTTTCTTTTGCATTTCTTCATGACATTTGGTCTATTATTTAACTTCATGTTGTTGTAAATGTGTACGTAGTTTTTGAGTGTTTAATATGTAATAGTGATGCAGTTAGGAATAAGTGGTAAAATTGCAGAAATTTTTAATTACAGGAGTGGTTCTGTCTTCAAAATCATGCCATTGGCTATGTGGAGGACCAATCTGGCATCACTACCCTTAAAAGTTTTAGGGTCATCACTTTATCAACTGGCACTGTAATAAAATGCATCAGTGCAAATAAATTACATAAACTTCTCATTTAAAGGGTTTGCTTCTCTCTTTGCAAGCTCCAGTTCAAAAGTAAACTATAAAACTGTGCCGCTAAATTTCATCTTGAATAAGTAAAGGTCATGGTGTTTCTTAAAGTTGATTTATATTAGTCCCAATCATAAAAACAGAGAAAAAATAGGATGCATCATTTTCTACTTGAAGTATATAATGCCTTTTATGTAACCATAATTCTGAAACACTGATTTAATGTCATGGGAACTGCAAATGCCACTGACTAATCTGAAACAAATATGAAGAGCTGAAAGAAAATGATTTTTGGAAGCTTTTTCACTTTATTGAGAAAATGTCTGCCAGCTTTTACATATATTACATAGTGTTCTGTGTTTTCCTGATATATCCTGCGTGGAGACTTCTAACCAATATTCTGAGACTATCATCATAGAAAGGCTTTACGGATATGACAAAAACAATAAGATATGAATTATGAAAAGACTCTGGACCACAGGAAAAAAAGACATCAATAAGCTTCAATATTACATACATAGGCAAGAAAATCCTAAAGTTAGAAGGTGGACGGTGATATGTAAAGCTAGCTAATTCAAAGAAGTCTCAAAAACAGAAGGAAAAAAGCATCAGACTGTATGGGGCAGCACAAAACCAATCTAAAGGGCAAATAATTATTAATATCGCTTCATTTGCACATTTCAAAACATGGATATGTCATTCCTACTGCAGAGTAGGAAGACCTCCATATCACTTTCCATGAAATAATGCTTAAAATATTTTAAATTTTGGCATTGATCTCATTTGGGCTATTATTCCATCTCCTTTTTAAAGAAAAGCAATATACATATTAAACTGTGCAACTAGAAATTTATAAAGGACAGTAGAGTTGAAGAGACACTTCAAAGTAGTCAAGTCCAACCGTCATTATGCGAGTGAAATATTCTATAGCTCACCTAACAAATACATTCTTAATTATTAAGTCCAAGCATCACCGTGTATGTAAAATATTCTATAGCTCACCTAACAAACATATTCCTAATTACTAAGGGAGAGAGATGTCAATAAGCAGGTGAACTTCCTTGTGTTTATGGTGTTTTTATTATGATGGAGAGTCATGGGCAAGTAACAGGTATAATTGTAAGTAGAAGTAATACTAAGCAGAAAGGTCAGACAAAATCATAAAGATGATGAAGACAGCTGTGTGACTACTAGGATTATGCAGGGGAGGTTTCAGTGAGAAGGTGCCATCTTAGGTCTAGAGAAGGTGAGCTATGACTCCTGAGGTTTTTGAATGCAAGAGTTACCCAGGAATAGCAAATACAAAGGAGTTGCGAGATCAGGGCACCAGGGCAGGTGCCAGTGGAATTAGAAGTTATACCAAAGGCTCACATTATGTAAATAGTCATTAAAGTAATTTTTAAAAGTGCACTGAGCCATACTTTCAATCAACAACACTCATAAAGTCTGCAGGATACAAAGTGAACAGTTCTCTGCATTGGGTGCCTATATGCATCTTTAACATCCTACATCATGTTTAATGAGTCCAGGTATGGAGATGTAGAATGATGGGTGCATAAGGTGTACTTACACTTGCTGTGAGGGAGCAGCCTGGCTGCAGAGTGCCATACAGTCCCTGTCGTGGAATCCTTACATGAGCCACTTTCTGCTATCCCATCGTGCTTTTTATCTGCCCTGCTTCCTAATCAATTCAGGCAAGCCATTTCTAGCCATTTGTAGATTCTCAACAAGTATTATCCAGTAAATGTGCCTGAAACTTAGAGACCCACTACAGGTGTACTGCAACGATCCAGGTATCCTAGTGTAGATAATTTTGACTAATTCTGTCAAGCACTACTGACACATTACAGATGACTCTCAAAAAAATGATAACATAAATCTAACTCTTAGCTTTTTGTTCCTTTTGGCAAATGAGTGAATATTAAAAGCAAGAGGAAACTCCTGGCTAAACCTCTCATCTTATATCTCATTCCATATTTCCACATCTGGCCATTCAATTTTTGCTAAATACACACATTATCTTAAATTTGATGTTTAACTCCCTGATACACTGATGTATTGATTTAATTTTTATCTTTTGAGATCACAACAAAGAATAGATAGTATGGCACATTTTCTTTCTTACTTGTTAGTAAGAAAATGATTCAATTGAGAGTTTAGCTCTCAATCCAGCTCCTTACTAACGTGCAAGTGGGAGGCAGTAAAATAAGAACTTGGTTCCTGCCACTCACATGGCAGGGTGGGATTGCACTGTTGGCTTCCAATTTGGCCTGGTCCAGTCCTAGCCAGTTCAACCACCTGGGGGAGTGAACTTTGGATGGGAGTTTTGTGTTTGTCTTCATTTTTTTTCCTTCTTTCTGTCTTTCTCCGTTGATATTTAAGCAAATAAACTGAAAATATGTATAAAATATTACTACCACAGTTACATGCAGCTGTCATGTATGTGTCATATTTGTCAGCATTTCCAGCCTGATGAAATATTTCTGGTAAATGAAGCAGGGAACTCAAAATACCAGTTGCAGCTGCAGACAGTGGATTTTTCTAATTGAACTTTATTTTTCCAAAAAATATTTAAAAAAAAAAATAAGAGGAGAATTTGGTTCAGAAATAAATGAAGAATCTTGATGGAGACATCCAGAGCATAAGACCCATCCATGAGTCAGCATGACTCAGCAATTTAGTAAGCCTGGGAAGCTGGAAATGAGCTGGAATATAATAACTTTCTAGCACTTCAATGTGAGCAAAGCTTTTGAACATCTGAAATATCAAGTGTTTGTGGTTGTCTGCCTTAAGACAATTTTGTAATACAAAGTAGTTCAGGGAAAGATCATTCACATGGCACAAAAAATTACTACTGTGTCACATTAAAAGACATGTATTCTTTGAGTAAGGGCAACCAAGATGAAGTAAGAATTCTTATTGCATGAAATCCTGTCATTCACAACTGGTAAAATCTTAGATTGCCTAAAACACACGTTTATATTAACCATTTCAGTAACACATTTCAATAAATGTAATATTATGAAACAAAAGGAATTTTCAAAGTTCCCAAATACTGTGATCCAAGAGAGAGGAACTCACCTTTTGAAGAAGGTAATTACTTTATCTCATCACTGTCTTCAGATCTCTGTAGATGGATGCCAATGGTGACGATGTCAAAGAGTTCGAAGTAGACTGCTTCGAATCCTTGTTCTAGAACGGTGATCACAGGCGAGCAATGACTCACACCCAATGGTTGATCTAATTGGAGATGAAAATTAAGATACAGAGAAGTTATAAATTAGAAACAATAACAATCTTTCAAGGGATTAAAAGCCAGAATGACAGTCTCAGACAGAGAGAGCAGCAGGATTCTTCTCAATTGGTACCAGCTGCAGCTAACAAATGAGAAGCTTTTGCTGAATGTTAGTCCAAGTCATGAAAAATTCATCTAGTGAATCCAAGGGATTCTTAACTTCATTTGAGCTTTACTTGCTCTCCCTTTCATGGACAAAAAAAAAAAAAATCCCTTTTTCTATAATGAAATTATTCATATGTTATTGTCTCAGGGTCACAGCAAATGCATAAGTACCACAAGATAATTTCTCAGAAATTCTCACATTAATGTGATATTAGTGCAAAGAACAGTTTCAGAGTAGTTCCCATATACAACCCTGAGAATACTTTCCACTTTTTCCTTTTTTGTCCTTCTCAATCTTTCTTCACTTCTTTCTTCCTTTGTTTTTAATTTTTCTCTTTTATGTGCAAAAATTCTTATTCATTTTTGTTGGAATTTGATCACCATCTCAGAATCAAAATGGAAAAGTACCTGGGGAGCAGCTCTTTGGTTCAACTGGCTAAACCTCCATCTCAAAGCACCAGGATCCTATAGGGCACTGGTTTGTGTCCCTGCTGCTCCACTCTCTGCCTATGGCATGGGAAACCAGTGGAGGATGACCGGCCCAATGTCTTGGGATCCTGCACCTGTATGGGAAACCCTAAAAAGGTTCCTGGCTACTGGCTTCTTAGCAGCTCAGCTCCAGACTTGGTAACTGTTTCACGTATGGACTATGGATGGAAAATCTTTCTCTCTGTCTTTATTTCTCTCTGTAAAATCTCCCTTTCTAATAAAAAGAAAAACTTTTTTTTTTTTTTAAAAAAGTAAACTCATTTTGGGACTACCATAAAAGGATTAAATTCTAAAACTTTCAAAATGAAGCAAAATACTTTGTGTGAGGGCAAGCACAGTAACTAAGGAAGCACTTACCCTCACAGGTTTTGTGTAAGTGTCTCGGCTGCTCATTGAACTCTATGAAAGAATGGGGCTCAGTTTGTAGGACACATCTTCTGGCTTCAGTTAGAATGCATGCTTTCCGACGTCTTTGAGGAATGCTCTTTGGTTGGCTTTGAATGCTGGCTTAGAGAGATAACATCAGCATAGTCAGTTTCTTATTTATGGTGCTGGAACTCTAAAGGCAGCAAATTGAAATTATTGATGTAGCAACTCCACTTCTAAATCATACTACTGCTTGCAAATTAAAACTTGGGGAACCTGGCTGTATTCCCACGCCTCTCCCGATCCACTTGTGTTAACGGCCAGTGCTGTTACCAAACACTAAGATGAACTCACAGCAACCAATGATTTGAACAACAATTATGAAGGAAACTGTGCAGAGGGGAAAGCTTAGCAGACAGCAGAAACTTCACTTTTTAAAATCTTATTCAATAGATTTCTTTTGTTGGATAATATGTTTTTGATTGTCATAGAGTCTTACCCACAAAGACACTTGAAAAAGTTCATGGAAAAATGGAATTGAGCGTATGAGTTTATCGCAATGCCGAAGCCTAGAAATCTATGCATAATGTTTTTATAACATGCAGTTTCCATGCATGATGAGAAAAATTTGTTCCCATATTTATGATTTCATTTTTACATGAACACTGTATATTCCCCTTAGACTTACAAGTCACCTATCATTTTCCATTCATATAAAATACATGCAAATGTGATGTATTAAAAATATGCAAGATTTAGTTTTTTATGAAGAGGTGTTCTGGAGATTTTAGTACAATAGGGTGACTCTACTTGCCACTAATGCACCAAACACTTAAAAGAGTGAAAAAAATAAATTTTATGATATATATTTCTTTTTTAAATATTTATTTTTTTATTGGAAAGTCTGATATACAGAGAAGAAAGACATAGAGGAAGATCTTCCATTCGATGATTCACTCCTCAAGTGGCCACAATGAGTGGTGCTGTGTCGATCCAAAGGCCAGGAGCCAGGAACTTCTTCTGGGTCTCCCACATGGGTACAGGGTCCCAAGGCTTTGGGCCGTTCTCGACTGCTTTCCCAGGCCACAAGCAGGAAGCTACATGCGAAAAATAACTGCCGGGATTAGAACCAATGCCCATATGGGATCCCAGCGTGTGCAAGGTGAGGACTTTAGCTGCTAGGCTACTGTGCTGGGGCTGATTTATTTTTTAACATAATTATGTTAGTGGTGAGAAAAGTGGGTTAAGTCTGAAAGAAGTCTCCCATCCATGGGTTTACTGTTTGGAAGCAAAGACCACCTTGGAACTTGGGATTTTCCACATGGAGATCAGAGACCCAACTAATTGAGGCTCATTTTGCTGTCCCCTAGGTTATGTATTAGCAGAAAGCTATAGTGAGATTGGGAGACCTCAAACCCAGGCACTGCAGTACTGACAGGGGAGCCCCAAGTGGCATCTGACCACTGCACTGGATGTTCACCACAGTCAACTTCTTAAAGAACCCAGAGTAACTCAGCATCTGTAGACTGCATATCTGAGGGCAATTCTGTATGTCCAGGCCTGAAACAGTGCTGGGCACAGATTACAGAATTACAGAATTGTTTTTAAAGCTCCATCATAAAGCACAACATGCAGGCTTTTTAATGCAGTGTTTTCCACACTGATGTCTCACAGAATTCACCGTGTTCTGGAAACTTAAGAGGTGTGCCGAGCACCCAAAGTTACGCACTCCAGGCAAAATTTAGAGTTCTGAGCAGGAGCAGCACCTTCCCAGGTCTTTACGGAAGAAATATTTGTAACTTCCAGTAACTAAGTGGATGCTTAAAGGGAATATGAAAACATACTGTGCTATGAGAACATAGTCATGAAGCACCATGAGTGTGTGTGTGTGCGTGCGTGTGTGTGTGTGTAATAACTGCTAAATATTTCCTAGAAAGAATGTTCCCCCAGCCCACTGCTCCATGAAGTTTAGAAAAGGCTACATCAGCTGGCAACCTGTCAGAATCGATTCTAAATCTGTGGGAAGACATGAGGCAGCTGCTTTGTTGTCGAATACTGCCCAAGTGTCTTCTCTATAGATTATTTAATCAAAACTGGGTTTAAAACACACAGAATCTCAAAGAAGTGCCGAAATTCTCTCTTGGTATCAGTTTAGCCTTTAACCTCAAGATACTCTTGAACAACAGAATTCTTAGGACTGTTCATTTTCAGATTATACCTAATTTCCCAGTGTATTTTTTCATTCTCTTGTTCTTAATTATATCTCTTCAATGTTTACTTCCAATGACATACTCTGCTGTTTTATTTCTGATCTTACTAAGTAATTGCCTTTAATTAAGTTTCTGTGCTATGAGGCTACTGTTTTTCTGTCCGGGAACAGGCAGAGAAATCTTTTATGTTGACTTGATGTTTTTAAATATATTTAAAATATATATAATAAAGCTTTAGATATAGCTTAGTTTCCAGTTGCTATATATCCTACAGGTTCTTAAAAGATTTTTTTTATTGCAAAGTCAGTTATACATACAGAGAGGATGAGACAGAAGAAGAAGATCTTATGTCCACTGGTTCACTCTCCAAGTGGCCACAACAGCCAGAGGTATGCTGATCCAAAGCCAGTTTTCTCCAGATTTCCTATGCAGGTGCAGGGTCCTAAGGCTTTGGACCATCCTCAACTGCTTTCCCAGGCCACAAGCAGGGAAGCCGGGCAGCTGGGGCATGAGCTGGCACCCATATGGATTCTGGTGCATACAAATGTGAGGATTTTAGCCCATAGGCTACCATGCCGGGCCTGGGTTCTTTTTTTTTTTTTTAATGTATATTTAGTTTTATTGGAAAGGCAGATTTATAAAGAAAAGGAGAGCCGGAAAGAAAGATTTTTCCATCACTCTCCAAATAGTTGCAATGGCCAGAGCAGAGCCCAAGCCAGGAGCAAGGCGCTTCCTCTGGGTCTCCCACATGAGTAAAGGGTCTCAGGGCAGTGAGCTGTCTTTCTTAGCTTTCCCAGGCCACGAGCAGAAAGCTCGATGAGAAGTGAAGCAGTTAGAAAATGAATCATATGAGATACCAGGGCTTGCAGGTGGAAGATTAGCCAACTAAGCCATCATGCCAGCCTCTCCCCACAGGTTCTTTTTAAACTGATATTAGTAAGATACAGCTGAAACTTAAGCCTACATTTTCAGAAGTCTAATCTTGTTTTTTTTCCTTAGGCTATAGTTACTCATACTTCTGCTGTTGTTTAAAAAAACTCATTAAGTATTTGTTAATGCTGAATTCTTAGAAAAGAATTGTGGGATCAAAGGATACATGTATTAAAATATTTGATACATATTGGCAAAATCTTTGCAACAGCTTAGTCAAATATATTTTTCCCTTGGAGTTTTTGTGTACAGATACTCTAGACGGCTATTGAAGTTTGAAACATTTTAGCAAATTGTTCCTCCAGTAGCTTTAATTTGTTGAGTTATTTTGAGGATGTTTTGATGATATTTGGACATGCATAGTTTGTTTTGATAAAATACTCCTCTGTTCTGCTGTATTTAGAAAAACTGCCAAGTTTGTGCTACTGATGAATAAAACACGTTGTGCTTTAAGATTAATCTTGATTTATTGCTAAATAAATTAGTCTGGAACAAGATTTTTACTAATTATAGCATTCTTCCTGGTCACTTGTATTCCTATATTTTTTCTTCAGTGGGGGAGAAGGCATGGAATTGTGGCTAGTAGGCTGGGAATTCATTAGCAGTTACAATGTATTTACGCTATGCTGTGCTCTGTCAGTACCATTATTAGCTTTATTTCTCATCAGTTCTATTTTTTTCTTCAAACATGAATGTACTCATGGAAAAATCTGACATATGCAGAAGTCATCCACTATGAATGTCAAAAGAAAACATTTTCAGAAATGTGTACCTGTTGTTATCATGCCCCCCTTCTCCTTTTCAATGTGGAAGAATGCAGGTAAACAGGTAGAAGAGGAAGAAAGTTGAGTTGCATCAAGCTCAACTGACTCATTAAGTTCACAGATCCAAAGACCAAGGCCCACTTTGAATCCTGACATTTCTACCCCAATTATCCTGAGGCCCAGGGGTGTTCGGTTTCTTCCTCAGCCCCAAGAAAGGAAAATCGGCACCCTAAGAAGCTCTGCCACATTCTTGATATGGTTTCCCATAAAAATCCCCTTGATAATTGGCCAACACGCAGCACTCACAGGGGTTTACTTGGGAACTGGCTGCTGCTTTGTTTTCCCTGCCTTTGCCGCTGCTGAAATAGTTTCAGTCTGAAGTCATTATGGCTGCGGTTACATTTCTCTGGCCAGATGACATTGTGAAAGCCTCCATCGCCACAGAAACAGATGAACAGCTCCCTGCTCGTCCTGGAAAAAAAAGTGAATTGGTGACAACAGCTCTAACTGCTTCATGGGAGGCCCCGAGATGTGACTCAGGCTCGCGAGTTCATGTCCCCAGAGTTGATGAACCATTTCCTCTGCTGCTCATCCTCCCTGCTGCTTTTGGGAGCTTTGGGGCACTGTCTTTTTGAAAAGTTTGTTTTTTAATTAGCTATTTTTCAGGTACCTCATGACTTTTGTAAGAAAAGGATGCTTGATTATCCAATTTGTAAAATGAAACCTCATTCGGGAAGCTGAGAATAAAAATTCCTAGGTTCTGATACCTGATTCATCATATTTCCTCTGCTTTCTTGAGCTCATAATATAAAATTCACAAAACAAAATACAAATAAAGAGAATAATAGCCAAAGAATTCACCCACTATGGTAGCACTCCAAAATTAACCTTCTTGACATGGTATCAAATGGCTGGAGTCGTGGCCATGGACAAGGGGGCTTGGTGAGGCCCAGGAGCTGTGATGACTCTCCTCCCAAGCATGCACTGCTCAAGTTGTCCAACCCTAATTTTTAACTTTGCAAAGAAGCAAACCACTCCTAAGAGCTGAATTCATACTTTCAGAAACATAACTAACAATAGAGTAGCATTTTTAGCTATAGACATCTTTTAGTTTTGAGGAAAATAAACAAAACAACTCTTTCACTGCAAGAATGCTACCGAGACACAGTTTACTGATTCTTTCAAGAACGTGGCTGCCATCCTGGACATCTTCTCCACGCAGCAGGGTGGCATTTGCGCTTCCTTAGAAATAACGAACCATTATTTTTTTTAAAAGTATTTTTAAAAACAGAGTTTTCGGGTTGTTGTTGCGGCATGTGGGTAAAGCCATTAGTAGAATATGTCACAATACTAAATACTCTGCATTACTATTTCCTGGAAAATGATAGACTTTTTTTTTTTTCAAACAGAAGAGTAAGCTAACTCTAGTTCTTGGGAAGTTCGGCTCCACTGTATGTCTGCATACTGTTCTCTACTGTATATTTGATGATGTCCACAGTTTTGCTTAAATTGTTTAAATTCTGCTTCTCCATATCAATAAACACCGTACTCCTTAAATTTGACTTTATTTTCATCTATTTTCAGTGGTTAATCTTAAATTGAATTTTTTAAAACATTTTACCATTGCCATTACCACATACATATATATATATATCTCACATATACATAGGTATATAGGCAGATGATAAGCAGGTGCACACATGTGTACTATTCTTTCAAAGGATGGATGGCTGATTTAAAATCACGTAACATGGGATTCAGAGATCATAAAATGAAAAATATATATTATTATGCAAGTTATAATTCAATGAAAATAAAATTTAGAAATACCTATTTGATGATAGACTATAGTCATGAAAAATGAGCAATCATCTTTGTTAGTTCATCAATCTTACAATTTAATGTTCTACTTTCTTATGACTCACATGCAGAAAATAGAAGTCACACACTGATGTGAGGACAGGAGGAAAAATGTTGAAGCAGTAGACATGACATTTAGCAGTATAAATCCCATGCATATTGACAAGTCAGTTCTCGATTCTTATTTTGTGGTGAAGAAAAATTAAAGAAAATAACTAGGGCCTCGTTTGTAGAAGTTCCAGACAGACATGCTGCTGAGTTGATACTTGGCTAACTAAGGCTCTCAGAATCTTTTTGGAATAAGGCCAACTGGGCAAGTTCATGGCATTATTGTGTTTATGACTTCAAAAGCCCTACTGGGTAAAGCAAGGTGACTTGCTACAAACATCCAGTTTCCATCCAGATGGTTTCCTGGAATAACACTGAAGAATAGGCACCAAGTAAGGAGACTGCTTTTGAAACGATTCCTGTAGATATTTATACTTATTCACTAAGACTTGAAGGAATTCTCACTTTCCATCAGTAATGGGGATTGGGATGGAATTATTAGCCTATGGACTCCTATGGTGCACTGTTCCTACACTGGTTGAAAATCAAGGGATTTTGGTTGGATACAAAAGCAAAAAATAAATAAATAAATAAATAAAAATCAAGAGAAAATCTGAAAGAAAAATGGAAGCTCTTAAAGAGCAAGGGGGAAGAGTGGGTTGAAGCAACCCTACGCCTGTATTAAAGAATGCCAGGTATCGGGGATTCAGCTAATGACTGTAGGTCTCCACTTTGCATTTATCTAAAAGCAAAGACAGAGAGAACACTCTTGCTACAGGAAGCAGACACTGTAGTAAGAAAATTTACTTGGGAATTCTCCATCTTTAACTAGTTCGCTCTTAATTCTGGGCATATAGGGTGGCATCTGCAGAGTGTGGGGTGGGGGCTGAAAGGAATGAGAACCATTTTTGTGATCCCTGAATTAAGCCTAACATTCTTTTTTTTTTTTTTTTGCTGATAAAGCTGTAAAATGACTTAATTGACATTTAAAAGCATAACCATTGTTTAAATAAAATAGATTTGTGTTATTTTATGCAAAAACTCTCCTGGAGCCAGATAAATCCTACACTTGGAAAAAAGTACATATGGACCCTTAGAAATCTGGCAAGCAAATAATTTGCTCTATTTATTCATATTATTTGTATTTAGTTGTACTACCTCTGAGAGGACTGTAAGGCAAAGGTAAAATACAAGGAGATGATTCATTTTCACTATGAAGAACTATTCACTTTCATGACTCTTCCAAAGAAGATGCAGTTCTGGAGTATGCCTGAGGGACAGAGCCAGTTGAGAAATTAGGATGATTAGAGAAAGAAGAGTGAAGAAGAGCTGAGTATCAACTATAATCTTAGACGCTGCCTGTCTGGATTTGAATTCTGACTTCTCCATTTACTGGCTATATGAACTAACTTAACTTCTAAGTTCCTTGTATGTAAAACAAGGATAACAAAATAATTATACTTTTCCTGTGAGAATCGAATAAGCTAGCAAATATTTTTATTTTTTTATACTCATAAAAGTGTCAGTAATGATATCTATTATGAACTGAAGCATATTCTTCCAAAATTCAGATGTTGAAATCCTGACTCCCAGTAGCTCAGCATGTGGCTATATATGGCTACTGGGTCTTCAAAGAGATTATTAAGATTAGATGAGATCATTGGAGTGGGCTCCAATCCAATATGGCTGACGTCTTTGTACAAAGCAGATATTAGGATATATCCATATATGAAAGAAAGGTCACGCAAGGGTGCAATAGGTGACGGGCATCTGGGAAGGCAAGGAAGAGACCTGAGAAGAACTAAAAATGCTTAGGTTTTGGATTTGTTGTTTCAAGAACTGTCAGAAAATAAATGTCTGTTTTTGTTTTTTTAAGATTTGGTTATTTCTGTTGGGAAGTCATATATACAGAGAGGAGGAGAAACAGACAGGAAGAGCTGTCCAATGATTCACTCCCCAAGTGGCCACAATGGCTGGTGCTGCGTTGATCCAAAGCCAGGAGCCAGGAACTTCCTCCAGGTCTCCCACGTGGGCACAGGGTCCCAAGGCTATGGGTCATCCTCAACTGCTTTCCCAGGCCACAAGCAGGGAGCTGGATGGGAAGTAGAGCCACGGGGATTAGAACTGGCCCTCATATAGGATCCCAGCACATGCAAGACAAGGACTTTATCCACTGGGCTATCGTGCTGGGACTACCAATTGTCTGTTGCTTAAAATAAATAGCTGTGCTCTCTGTGAGACTGATAGCCCTAGGAAGCTAATGCAAGGATATTACAACATCTTTCTAAATGCCTGTATTTAAACAATCATTGTTATATCTATAGAATATCACTTACAGTCTGATTGTCTTGTATTATACTTTGAGATAGAATTGAAATTGACATCTGTAAACTGTGCTGAAGAGCAGCTGTTTTACCTTTTCCCCTTTATGTCAATCTTCATTCCTCCAATCACAGTTTTTTTCTAAATAATAGGTTTAAAATCATGCTTTGCCACCGAAAAAATGCATCCTGCTTGAAACTATTAACCATATTCATTGTAGAAACAGCCCAGAAGAGATAGGATTCATCAGCCATGGCCAAAGAAATAGCTACCAACGATATCATTATCAGTACCACCATCATCAGATAGATGCATCACTCACTGACTGTATTGTGATCTACACTGAATATTAGGAAAACAAGAACAGGAAAGAAATATAGCATTGATAATGAAAACAAAGAAATGGATATTATGATAAAAATCAATGTGTGTACTATAGAAGCAGATTTCTTATTAAATATTATACTTAAGCAAATACAAGTATAATATTTAGTTGACTATAAATTCTATCAGATCTACAGTGTTAAGAATTTCGTTTTTAGTGATTTTCCCACTTGATGGTCAACTTCAAACTTACTTAGGTTGTAAAGCATTTGAAACCTTCAAATTCATATCCTTTGATAATTTACATAAGGTAGCAGGGAATCCTCAGCACCTGCATGAGTTACACTGTGTCCTATTGAAGTCTTTCACAGAGAGCTAGGGAGTTAGAACATTCCTCCCTTGAAGGAGCTGAGTCAACACTGGCCCACATTCTTGAATATCTCAGCTTGAAAATACTAATATTGTGATAGCATGACAAGTAAGACCAATCTTAAATTTAAAATAATTTAAAAATGAACACTTAAGTATGAATCAATCTTAAATTTATAAAATGCTGATACATGCTTTATGCATATATATTTATAACTGATTTTGCATATTTTGTAACCAACAGATACTAATTACATAATTAAAAACAATGTTTTGAAAATTATAACTGCAAGTGTCTCTATATATAATACATTATAAACAGTATTGAGGAAACTTATTTGTGTCTAATATACATACCATTCCATTAGTGATATGGTTAGTCAACATTTGGACTATTTGAAAATATGAATAGTTAAATAATTTGACAAATACTGAGCTTCCTGAGCAAGTGCACCATGAGTCATTACAAAGTTCATAACTGAGAGCAAGACAAGTAACATGAATCTTTCAAATTACTCGTAAAGAGTAAAGAGTATTTGAAAAGGACATTCAAACTTTAGCTCTTATTAGGAATTTTTGCCACAAACCCAGGACAGCTGAGGCAGCGAGTCACTTAGGAGGTTTTTATTCAAGCCAGAGAGGTGGCCAAGGGGAAGGGAGAGAAAGCAGAGAGCAGAGAAGGAGGTGGCAGGGGAGTGGGAGGCGATGGGGTCGGGGGCGGGGGGAGCAGAGACAGGAGAGAGGGAAAAAAAAACAAAGGAGGCACGGTGCTGGTAATGGGAATACGGGGCTGGGAGTGATTGGTGGATAGGGTCGCGGGCTGCTGGCGATTGGTGGATAGAGCTGTCAGACACAGCGCCATGAAGTTAAGCAGATTGTTGAAGAACAAGGTTACAAGGTTACAGAGGATTGTTGGAGAACCGAACTGGATCTAAAATAATGCCAGGTCGGAGAGGGCAGAGGTCTTACTGGTTTTCAAGGCTGACGCTCCAGCCACCCCTCACAGGAAATCTCCCTTCCAAAGAAAGAGTATGAAATTGTTCAAAATTATTGAGTAGCCATTGAAAGATAGATAGGATAAATTGAAAAACACTTACCCTTGAAGAACGGTGAAATACTTCACATTAGAACTGCAGAATTGTGTCCTTTTGTCCCAGGTTGCTACCACAGCCCACCTTGGCTCAGGTGGTAAGAAGCATGCCTTCACCGGGCAATGTCGGTCACCAGAACAGCAGCTTGGCTTCCTGAGGGAGCAAACATATTTTTGTAGATGGATGGAGTGAACACCTGTTAGTTTTTACTGCTTCAGCAACTAAAATTTTTTAAGCTTAATTTGGAAATTCAAAGATCCTAAAATAACAAAAGCAGCAAAAGTAGAGATTAATAATGTGGAAAATTGAGAATCCCTGTTTTCTAAATTTACTCTAAAGTTGTCATGACCATAATTATATTATATTAACATTATGGCAGAGGTAAAATCAAATGGATGGGAATCAAATTATAATAGTTTTCTGTTACTACAATGAAACATCAAGAAGGAGGTTCATGGGTGTGGTATCAATATCATCTTTGTTCTGGTGAAGAATTCATGATGGCTGATAACAAAAAGGGAAGAGAGGACAAGAGACAAAGAACAGACAGATACACAGAGAGATACACAGGAGATACACAGAGAGAGACCAGGAACTAACTGGAATCCCATAAGAAACTATGTTACTCTCTTCCTAGGGCAAAGCCCTTAATAATGTAATAGTTCTGAAAGACCCCACATGTTTCATGAGACACCACCTACTTAGAAAATATAGGAGGTAATTACTGTGGCCTTTAGTTTTCTAGAAATAACATATAAGCATAATCTGGAATACAAATTGTATTTCATAAAAAAGCTAAAATATTTCTCTCCAAGAGACACCATTAAGGAAATGAGAAGATAAGCTAACAGCGATAAAATATTTTCAAATCATATATTTGAAAATTTCTTTATATCTAGGAGTAAACAAAACTTCTTAAGACTTGCCAAGAAGAATCAAATGATTGAAATACAATAATTGCCAAAAGATAGGATAAAAATTTCACAAAAGCAGATACACAAATGGTAAAGGAGCATCTGAAGAGTCTCAAGATCATTAGTTAACAGGAAAATGCAAGTAAACATTGCAAGAGATACCACTGCCCATCTGACTAAATGGCTACGGTTAACAAGATTGCAAATAATCAGTCTTGGCAAAGATGTAGAGGAATAGAATCCATCACACAGAGCGGGTGGAAATAAACACATTGTCATTTAGGGTAACACTCTGGTAGTTTCTTGGCTACTTTTGCATATGAATAATTTACAAATTCCACTCAGATATCTAAGCATGAGAAATTAAAACATGACTATGCTAAAACTTGTATATAAATACTCATACCATTATTATCAGCTAAAACTGTATGCATTTAAATGCCCCTCAAACGATAAATAGTTAACAAAATGCAATGTATTGAAAAAAATGCAATACCATTTAGTGATTAAAAACAAATTTAAGGGCCTGGCTTTGTAGCCTAGAGGCTAAATCCCTTGCCTTGTACACACTTGGATCCAGTATGATCCAGTTCATGTCCTGGAGGCTCTGCTTTTCATCCAGCTCCCTGCTTGTGGCCTGGTAAAGCAGTCAAGGATGGCCAAAAGCTCTGGGACCCTGCACCCATGTGGGAGACCCAGAGGAAACTTCTGGCTCTCGGCTTCAGATCAGTTCAGCTCTGGCTGGTGCGGCCATTTGGGGAGTAAATCATCAAATGGAAGATCTTCCTCTATGTCTCTCTTTCTCTATATATATCTGACTTTCCAATGAAAATAAAATAAATCTTTTAAAACAAACCAACAAAACAAAACAAAAAGCTAAAATGTAGTTGTATAGGGCTACAAGATGAAAGGACCTCAAAACCATAATGATTAGGGTAAAAAATAAAAGCCAGACAAAAAGCCCTTGAATTTTATGATGTAGTTTACATAAAAGAATAAGCAAAATTACAGGATGGCATATTACAAGCTAGACATTAGGCATATTTTCTGTAAAAGGGTTATAACTAATTAAAAATTACAGTTGTAACACTGTATAAATGTATCAAAAATAATTAAAATTTACACTTAAGTTTATAGCACATGCATTATAGCTTAGTAAAAGACCATCTATCATCTTTCCTTTGGCTCTAATTCAATTCCTCTGGAAACTCATTTATAAACTCATTAGTGAGATGCTGTGTTTTTGATCATATGACTAAATATTGTTACAAATTTTATTTTTAATGTTGTAGTAATACTGCTGTATAATCAATGTATTTTCTTTAGCTGTTATGAATCTCTCTTAGCTCACAGTAATGTGTTGAAGAAATAAATTTAAAGATACATTTATTTTTATTGATTGCTAATGAGTTAGAGATTCTTTGAGGTCAGTGATGATTGGATACAGAATGAAGAAATCAAAGACAATACACATTCGAAGTATACGTGTGAAGTTGCAACCTAATTCCAGGATAGGTGTCATCAAACAATTGCAATACCACTTCATTGGAGAGGAAACGCAGAACACAAGAGAGCTTTGCTAAGAGTGAGCGATTTTGAAGATCTGTTTTCAAATTCAAATGCTAGATGACCCTAAGGAGGCTCTATTTTCAGAATCAGCAGTTCTCAGCATGAGTTGAAAGAATTCCTTTTAAAGGTTGAATTGCATAGATAACATATTTTATTCATGATACATTGATATTCTGATATACAAAATGTTCCCCCGTAGATTTACAAATGTGTTTTATTGATTGCAGATAGTGCTACAAATTTTCTTCTTGTCAGAACAATGGATACTCTATTATAGACAGTGATGATATAATTTGTAACATTCTTCTTTGGGGTTTCATGCATTATAAATGTGTATTGGTATGTATTTTGCTTAATGAGTTTGTTAAAATTATAAGATATAATTCCCATTCTTACCAAGCTAAAGTGTTATATCCAATACATTAAAATGTTACATTATATACCACAATGAACATGTTCACGTAGTTTATTCCAAGTCTAGTTTTGGGTGAAATTCCATCAGAGGATGTGTGTCAAGTTGGACAGAACAGTCATTCCCTTCTACTCAACTTTTTCTTCTCTATTTTCACCTCAAATTTATAGACAGACATATTGAACCAGAAAGTCCATCATGCTACACAAACTTGCTAACCTATTCTTGCAGTTGTCCATTGTGCGGACACTGGGAGAAGATATTGTAACTTTCAGTGTCAAACTTTGGTTGAAAGACGTCAGGTAGGGACTTGGCATTGTGTTGAAGCAGGTTGAGCCATTGCATGAGAAGCTTGCATTCACATAGGGTTGCTAGGAATTGAGTCCTGCCTCTACTTCTGATCCAGCTTCTTGCTACTGCATACTTTGAAAGGCAGCAGGTGATGGTCCAAGTCCTCGTGTTCCTTCTATCCATGAGATGGAGTTTTGTCTTCCAGCCTTGACCTGGCCGAGGCCCAAGGGTGGGCATATCGGAAGTCAAGCAGCGGATAAAAGTTTCTCATTTTCTTTTTCTTTCAAATAAATGAGTACACATTCAAAAAGACATTAGATAGCAACTTTGAAGTACTATTGTTAAATTTGTTTTAGCTTCCTGAGGAAGCAATGGAAAAGGAACTGAGAAAAGCTTCAGTGCCTAAAGCCATGTGTTGGCTTAGGGACGTTTGTAGAACCCTGCTGGGATTCCCACAGAAGCTGTCTCTATCGTCTATCAGGTACATTTAAGCATCACAACTATTGTACAAGGAGATGCCTAGTAACTTACTCAGAATTTTTTCAGAATCAATTATAAAACCCTTACTCTCGATAGTATTAAAGGCTAATTGACCAACCAAGTCCCCTTAGTTTGTCCCTACTTCCCAATTTGAAATAATTTTTCGTTATGACACATGTGAAAATTCGAAGGAAAATGTATATAAAGGTAACTAAACCCTCTATTCATTGAAGTTTCTTTGTAAAGGTTTTTAAATTTTTATTGGAAAGGCGGATATACAGAGAGGAGGACAGAGAGGAAGATCTTCCGTCCAATGGTTCACTCCCCAAATGATTGCAATGGTTGGAGCTGAGCCAATCTGAACCCAGGAACCTCTTCAGGTTTCCCACACAGGTGCAGGGTCCCAAAGCTTTGGGCCGTCCTCGACTGCTTTCCCAGGCCACAAGTAGGGAGCTGGATGGGAAACAAGGCTACCGGGTTTAGAACCAACACCCATTTAGGATCCCAGCGCTTTTAAGATGAGGACTTTAACCTCTGCTCTATTGCGTTGGGCCATATTTGTTGAAGTTTTTGAAGTAGTCAACAAATATGAATAGATGCTGAATTGAAAAGCAAAATCATTTTTGTATCTTGGCACAAATGAAGTCCTCCATCTGGTCAAAAACTAACAGTCAAAGGAGCTAGGCAAATCATTAAAAAAACAAATTATGAAACAGATTCCCATTACACTTTAGTCAATTCGTCCCTGTACAAGTTGCATTATCTCATTTGAAGCCATCGGAATGAAATATTATGTTTCCAGCAATTGCAAAAGAATAATATATTTTCTCATACTGGAGGTTATCTTTGGTACCAATGATATGCTCAGTTTCCTATGTCCCTAAAATTAAGCAACACGATAAAGCAATTAAAGAATGTTTTTATTTATAGAATGTGTCTCTGGAAGGCAAACTGCCTCTGCCTTCCAAAACAAGTCTGTTATAACAGTACTCCCAGTCGGCATGGCTCTTCTTGAAAACTACTGGATTCAATGTGAGCTCCCAGGGGCAGGCAGGTTAGGAGGACAGCGACTGTTGCTGCTGCCTCCACCAACTTGGTGTTACTTTTTTGAATGGGCAAGTCAGAAGAAATGCTTCCGGTTGTTTTCTGTCTTCTGCAGAGAGATTTCCTTGAACTGGGTGAAATATTGCCCAGAAATACCCGGTTGCAAAATTCAATATTTTATGAGGAAATGTGAATACAATTTGGCACTATTTTGCCTTAGGCAAGCAGCTGTTGAAGTTGAGCTATGTGCAGAACACATAGTAATGGCACCAAACCATCCCACCTGCTCACTTTAATTGTGTTTCCCTGATCTGCTTGAGGGAAGTCCTAAAGTCTTTTAGCAGATGTCCTGACAATATGGCATTGCCTTAGTGATTAATTTTTATAACTCCTGGGTTGAGAATGTGTTAATTGGAGATATGCCTGCTGGAAATATGTGTTGC